ATGTGCCCGAAAACAAAAAACTCTAAAAAAAAAAAAAAAAAAAAGGAAGTAAGCGTGGAGTTGGAGTTAACAGTGTACAATCAGGTTTTAATATAGAGAGCTATAGAAGTGGATGTTAGTGTATGTTTAAATATACACACACTCATAAACATATATTCCCTAACTCTGTGACTGAGGACCTAGAAGCAATGCCATCTCGTGCTCCATTAAAAGAAATCAGGGTTCCTTGGAGAAATGGCAGATTCCGAGACTAAAGCAGGAAAAGTACATGAGACCCAGGATATGTTTCTGTGGTGCCAGAAAGTAAGAAAATACTCAAAGAATGATGGGGGCACACCAAAAACACATAGGAGATGAGCTTGACGTAATGCGCATTGGCCCAATGCGGGGCAGTTCATCAACAAAATGAACAAGGATGGTAACATAACCTGCAGAATAAAATAAAAATGCACAAGTCCTTGTTGACACAAAGAAAGAAATGGTGGAGAAGGGGACATTCTTTTGGAGTCTAATTCCAAATATAAATATAGTATGGAATTAGAAAATCACCATTTAGCCATCACCCTGGTAATAATTATTTCAGGCAAGCATCATCAAGATATGCTAAAAACTGGTAGTTGAAAGTCTGATGGAGAACAAGATATTATCAAATCTCAAAGTATCTCCCCACAAGATACCTATTAATTACAAAGGCAAAAATAGTAATTTCATAGTCAAGAATCCTGCCAGATACCACCCTAATTAAGTGATCAAAGTTAACATCATCAATAACAGGACCAATCAACATTACGTGCCTCCGGATAGGATGCAGCACATTGCTTCTTTGGCATTTCTGCCAGAAATGGAAAACCTGAATCTAACTACAAGGAGCAACAGACAAGCTCAAGCTGAGGGACGTTCTATCAAATAATTGACCTGTGTTCTTTGAAAATGTCAAGATAATGAAAGAAAGAAAAGCAATGAATAACTGTTCCAGATTAAAGAAGATTGATCTCAGACTGGATCCTAGACGAGAAAGAACAATTTTCTGTTTGCTATGAAAGACTGCTGATAAAATGTAAACGTCTGCAGTTTAGAAAACAGTAAAATTATATCAGGTTTTTTTTTTCAATTTTGATAACGGAACTGTGCTCATATAAAACAACGCTCTTGTTGTGAAAAAAGAGCACCAAAGTTTTTAAGAGATAAAGAAGCATTGTGTTTGCAATTTATGTCATCAGAAAAAAAAAAACACATGTGTGACTGGGGGAAAAGAAAAAGAACTGATAAAGTAAGTACAGTAAAATGTTAGCAGTTGAGGAATCTGGGTCAAGGGGATAAGAAATAAGAAATTCTTTGTACCGTGTTGTCAGCTTTTCTTTAAGGCTGAAATATATTCAAAATAAGTTCTTTTGTTTCAAAAAACAAAAAACAAACAAAAAACAAAAACAAAAAAAAAACGACCTTATTTCTAAGAAGAACAGTGACAGGCAATATAAAATATTGGTTTAAAAGGAAGAAACAAGGCTGGCCTGTAGCACAGCAGTTGAGGAGTTGAGGAGCCAGATCTCATATGGCTGACCACAGTTTGAGTTCCAACGCTAGTGGCTTAAAAAACACACCGGGCACACATGCATGCATGCCCCAAATCCTGACAGGATAGAGAAATCGGAAAAAAAAATATTGCAGAATGAACACACCCCATGGGGGGAGGGCTCTCTCTCTGGTGACCGCACACACACCCTCTGGCGATAATAAATAAATGGAAGAAATAAATCTAAACAGTGAAATTGCTGCCTATAAAATTTGAAATTTTTATAAGAAAAGTGTAATATGGATAAGTACCGACAAGAAATGCACTTTTTACACTGACAGCAGCCTCTGTTTGTCTGGCGGGCGCACGCCCCCTATAGCAAAAACCCCTCCAAAAAAAAAAAAAAAAAAAAAGGAAGTAAGCGTGGAGTTGGAGTTAACAGTGTACAATCAGGTTTTAATATAGAGAGCTATAGAAGTGGATGTTAGTGTATGTTTAAATATACACACACTCATAAACATATATTCCCTAACTCTGTGACTGAGGACCTAGAAGCAATGCCATCTCGTGCTCCATTAAAAGAAATCAGGGTTCCTTGGAGAAATGGCAGATTCCGAGACTAAAGCAGGAAAAGTACATGAGACCCAGGATATGTTTCTGTGGTGCCAGAAAGTAAGAAAATACTCAAAGAATGATGGGGGCACACCAAAAACACATAGGAGATGAGCTTGACGTAATGCGCATTGGCCCAATGCGGGGCAGTTCATCAACAAAATGAACAAGGATGGTAACATAACCTGCAGAATAAAATAAAAATGCACAAGTCCTTGTTGACACAAAGAAAGAAATGGTGGAGAAGGGGACATTCTTTTGGAGTCTAATTCCAAATATAAATATAGTATGGAATTAGAAAATCACCATTTAGCCATCACCCTGGTAATAATTATTTCAGGCAAGCATCATCAAGATATGCTAAAAACTGGTAGTTGAAAGTCTGATGGAGAACAAGATATTATCAAATCTCAAAGTATCTCCCCACAAGATACCTATTAATTACAAAGGCAAAAATAGTAATTTCATAGTCAAGAATCCTGCCAGATACCACCCTAATTAAGTGATCAAAGTTAACATCATCAATAACAGGACCAATCAACATTACGTGCCTCCGGATAGGATGCAGCACATTGCTTCTTTGGCATTTCTGCCAGAAATGGAAAACCTGAATCTAACTACAAGGAGCAACAGACAAGCTCAAGCTGAGGGACGTTCTATCAAATAATTGACCTGTGTTCTTTGAAAATGTCAAGATAATGAAAGAAAGAAAAGCAATGAATAACTGTTCCAGATTAAAGAAGATTGATCTCAGACTGGATCCTAGACGAGAAAGAACAATTTTCTGTTTGCTATGAAAGACTGCTGATAAAATGTAAACGTCTGCAGTTTAGAAAACAGTAAAATTATATCAGGTTTTTTTTTTCAATTTTGATAACGGAACTGTGCTCATATAAAACAACGCTCTTGTTGTGAAAAAAGAGCACCAAAGTTTTTAAGAGATAAAGAAGCATTGTGTTTGCAATTTATGTCATCAGAAAAAAAAAAACACATGTGTGACTGGGGGAAAAGAAAAAGAACTGATAAAGTAAGTACAGTAAAATGTTAGCAGTTGAGGAATCTGGGTCAAGGGGATAAGAAATAAGAAATTCTTTGTACCGTGTTGTCAGCTTTTCTTTAAGGCTGAAATATATTCAAAATAAGTTCTTTTGTTTCAAAAAACAAAAAACAAACAAAAAACAAAAACAAAAAAAAAACGACCTTATTTCTAAGAAGAACAGTGACAGGCAATATAAAATATTGGTTTAAAAGGAAGAAACAAGGCTGGCCTGTAGCACAGCAGTTGAGGAGTTGAGGAGCCAGATCTCATATGGCTGACCACAGTTTGAGTTCCAACGCTAGTGGCTTAAAAAACACACCGGGCACACATGCATGCATGCCCCAAATCCTGACAGGATAGAGAAATCGGAAAAAAAAATATTGCAGAATGAACACACCCCATGGGGGGAGGGCTCTCTCTCTGGTGACCGCACACACACCCTCTGGCGATAATAAATAAATGGAAGAAATAAATCTAAACAGTGAAATTGCTGCCTATAAAATTTGAAATTTTTATAAGAAAAGTGTAATATGGATAAGTACCGACAAGAAATGCACTTTTTACACTGACAGCAGGTGGAAACCAGCACAGACTTTCTAAATAGCAGTTATGCCCATAATTAAATCATTTTTAAATGTTTAAATCCTGACAAAGATATCTGACAGAAACCTACCAACAAGCATTCTTAAATGTGAACTATTAGACATAGTCCCTTTAAAAATGAAGAAACCAACAAGGAGATCTACTAGTAACACTTATTAACATTATTATTAAACATCCCGGTGGGTTCAAGTCAACCCAGTAAAATAAGAAAAAAAAATGAATAAAATGTATAGGATTGGAAAAAGGGAAATAAGACAAAATTTGCAAATATCACTTTCTATATAGAAAAGTCAAAGAAATTTACAAATTGTTAGAACTGTGAGAGTTCAGCAAGATAGCTGACTATAAGCTTAAAATACAAATAAGTGCATTTGTAAACACTAGTAAGAAACAGAAATGTAATTTTTAAAATCACATTTATAATAATAATAAAAAGTAAGGCACTTGGGATTTAACATATTTAAGACCCTTATTCATATATATATAACTTTATTTAAAGGCATTAAAGACCAAAATAAATCAAGTTATCCAA